CGCGCGCTCTTTTATTCCAGCCGCTCGATCTTGCCTGAGGTAAATTCCACCATGAATACTTCGTCCTCACCCGTCAGTGGATCCTGGGAGCGAATCACGACCCCCCGAACAAGCCGCCGCCGCCACCGCCTCGTTTTCCCGCAGCTCTGGGCTCCGGGCGGAGCTCCGGCGTCGCGGGCCGAGGGCGGGGGGCGGCGGGAGGGCGGATGTAGGTGGCCCGGGAGGGGGGCGGGCAGTGGGGCAGAGAGACACCCTGCACCCCACCGGGAAGCACTTCCAGTGGCTCCGAGCAGACCAGACACAAAGGGGGGAGTCGCTGCAGCTGCCTGTCTGCGGCGCTCCCGGTCACCGGACTGGCCCCGCCTCTGCCGCCGCCTCCGCCTCCGCCTCCTCCTCAGTCTCCGGCTCTTCCAGGCCCTGTCTGCCTTCGGCCTGTGGTGCAGCGCGGGCGGCGACAGCGGCGGCTGCGAGACGAAGCCCACACTGCGCCTGCGCGCTCCGGCCCTGCCCGGCCCCGCCCCTCGTTCCTGGGCTGGCTGGGGACTCCGAGGCCCTCGCGCGGCGTGTCTCTCTCTTGAACCGCCGAGTCCAGGGTGGGGCTGGCTGTCCGCGGCAAGCAGCAGTACCTTTTCTCCTTTACACACACACACACACACACACACACACACACGTCTTCCATATGTGGTTGGCTTGAGGTGTGTGTGTGTGAGCGTGTGTCCGCACGCGTGTGTTTTGAGGGCAGCTACGTCTTTTGTCCAGAGTTCGGCATACTCTTCCGAGCTCTGTGATTTAGCTCCACTGAATCGTTGCTGTCTCCTCTACACTCTTGGAGGAAAGCCTGGAGGGACAGAACTGCTCCCCCCCTACCCCCCGTTGTTGCTCGGGGCCGGAGCCTCCCTCTCCGTAGCCCAAAGAATCCGGATGGACCCGCCTTTCCAGACCCGCAGACCTTGGCTTCCTCAGACTTCCTCACTGACTCAAAACAAAAGCTGGAATTGAAAGACCATTTGATTTGTTTTCTCTAATCAACCTCCTGCTTTCCTTCGGGCGCCCATTACTACATCCCTTCTTAGCTGACAGGAATTTCGAACATTTGCAAGGATGAGAACCCGGGGCGGGGGTGGGGGTGGGGATTTGGCAAACCGTCCGGCCGTGGGTGCACGTAAGTCTGTGCAGCGCGGTTTCCACTTCCCGGAAAGGGCCTGTATTCACAAAGGCCCGGGGCTTGGGGGGCTAGTAGGGCACGAGAAAGGGAAACTGACATAAGGAGTGGTTGCCTCTCCAGCGGAGGAGTCTTCCGCACCCAAGAAATTAAGAAGGTTCTGTTGCTATAGCAGTTTTCTAGAATCTGTTTAGTCCGTCTTTTCCATTTGCAAATCTGGTTTTTACCCAAGAAACCAGGCTTGGGCAGGGGTTTTCTCCCTCCGTCCTACAGCACTTACACACCCCTGCAGGATCAGCCGACTTGGGTGGGATTCGGCTGGGGGAGACGCGAGAAGGTGACGCGCGTGGCGCCATGATCGGAAGTCTGGGTTTAATTCTTAGCTGCGAGGTGGAAAATTTACGTGGGAGGGAGATCTTAAGATGTGAAGAGGCCCCTTCCCTTCTCCCATTAGGCCAAAGGGTTATTCTGAAGGCTGGTTTTGCTGGTCTTTCATTGTGGCTAATGGTAGTGCCAGAAATATGTTCACAAATACACTCCTGAAGTCACACTTTGCTTACTTTATTCAAGTCTCTTTTTATCTCTTTATCTGAACTTGATGTAAATAAATCTCCACATTCCTTAAACTGGTTTCTGTTACCATACGAAACATCTTCTATAATTAGGGGTTATGGTAATGCCAATGCAAGATTCTAAAACACTTTTTTAGTTGAAATATTTTTAAACTATTTACCCTTAAGGTAGAGAAAACATTTTTCTGTATAGTAAAATCCCTTAAAAAATAATCATATGCTTTGATTCATTAGCTTTATTACTACATTATGTTTTGCCTAAATAGCTTATAATAAGAAACGGGTATTGTTATACCATTTGCCTACAAGAAATGAGATGTATAATCCTAGCCCTCTGGGAGGCTGAGGTGGGTGGATTGCCCGAGCTCAGGAGCCAGACCCCCTTTCTAAAATAGCCAGGCATAGTGGCAGGCGCCTGTAGTCCCACTTACTTGGGAGGCTGAGCAAGACAATCACATGAGCCCAAGAGTTTGAGGTCGCTGTGAGTTATGGTACCACAGGACTCAACCCCAGGGCAACAAAGTGAGACTCAGTCTCAAAAGAAAAAAACAAAAAGAAAGAAAAGAAATGAAATGTAGTTTAACACCAAAGAAAAATAGAATTTTAGGATTGGGGCCTGTTGCTCAGCAGCTAGGGCCCCAGCCACATACACTGGAGGTTGCAGGTTCAAATCCAGCCCAGGCCTGCCAAGCAACAATGCCAACTACAACCAAAAACAGCTGGACATTGCGGTGGGCACCTATAGTCCCAGCTACTTGGGATGCTGAGGCAAGAGAATCGCTTAAGCCCAAGAGTTAGAGGTTGCTGTGAGCTGTGATGCCATATGGAACTCTACAGAGGGTGACGTACTGAGACTCTTTCTCAAAAGAAAAAATAGAATTTTAGTATATTAGAGGTGCAGAAAGTTTGTCAGTTGGTAGTATACTGTTTTTCTTCCTCAAATGAGATCAAGCCCTTAATTATTCAGTTTCTAATTGCTCAAAATATTTTCTAAGAAACATTAAGTACCCTTATACAGTAGTCTTCCCCCACCTTCTGAGGTTTCGATTATGTGAGGTCAATGAAGCTCTGAAAATATTAAGTAAAAAAATCCAGATATAAACAATTAATAGGTTTTAAATTGTGCATTGTTCTAAGTAGCATTATAAAATCTCATGCTGTCCTACTCTGTCCAGCCTGGACGTGAATCATCCCTTTGTCCAGTGTATATACTATACTGCTCTTTAGTCAGTAACTATCTCTGTTATCACATGGACTGTTGCATTATCTCCTTGCTTGTGTTCAAGTAACCCTTACTTTACTTAATAATGACACCAAAAGCAAGAGTACTGATATTGGCAAATTAGACATGCCAAAGAGAAGCCAGAAAGTGTTTCCTTTAAGTGAAAAAGTGAGAGTTCTTGACTTAATAAGGAAGGGAAAAATCACATGCTAAGGTTGCTAATCTCTGCTTAAGAACAAATCTATCTTTGAAATTGTGAAGAAGGAAAAATAAATTTGCCCTAGTTTTGCCTCAAGCTGCAAAAGTGATAGAAACAATGCATGCGAAGTGCCTAATTAAGATGGAAAAATTTGTGGTGGAAGACATAACAGAAACATTATCCATGGTTTCAGGTATCCACTGGAAGGATACCTTCCCTTATCCCCCACAGGTAAGGGAAGACTACTGTCATGTTATAAACGTATGATGAATTGTATAGAAATTCGGAAAAAGTCTTAGGAAAGTCGCATAAACAATACATACTACTGACTTGGGAATGATAATTGGTAGACAAAGAGATATGCAACCCTCTTCCCTTTTCAGTTCCCCCTTGTAGTATCTCAGTAGTGACATGGCTGTTCATTCACGATGAGAAAGAACATCAAAGGAGAATTAGGATTTGGCAAGGAATCTGACCACTACACAAGATAGAGGACATAAGTCAATCTAAGGTGAAAACAAAGGATTCATAGGGCAGTTGAGATTTGGCATCTGTAATAATCAGGCTGAACTATATTGTAATAACATCCCCCAAATCTTAGCAGCTTATTGCAACAATTGTTTGTTTCTCCTACATGTTGGAGGGGGAGGGTGTTTGTTTGTTTGTTTTAGAGACAGTCTCATTTTGTTGCCCTCGGTAGAGTGCTGTGGAGGCACAGCTCACAGCAACCTCTAACTCCTGGGC